TATGAGTAAAAAGTAATAAATTAATACTGGAGTAATAAATCATTCGACTCTCTCTCTCTCTCTCTCTCACATTTTTCTTTTATTAATAAACTCAAAATTTAAAAAAAAATATGCATTAGTTGATTTTTTCTCTCGTTTTTATTAATTGTTTGTTTGTTTTGGGAGAAGGTTGTTTGTTTGTTTGCTTTTGTTTGTTGCGTAATGTAAATTATTAAAAATATTTCTATTTTTCTTTTTCGCTGGCTCGAACTCGCGGTCGAAACAACAAAAAAACAACAAAAAAATATTTTTTGAATAATATTTTTTAACAACCGGTAATTATTTATTATCATTATTATTATTAAAATTTCACGGGTAATAAAACGAGGTGGTAAATAAAAAAAAAAAAAAGTTATGGAGATTGATGATTTTAAAATATGTTAAAAACATTTTAATAATTTAATCGATTTATTTAACCGGAATCGAGTAAATTATTACGTTAATTAATTTCAAAAACTCTCGTATCATTAATTATTATTTTTATTAATTATCACTACGAGTACTTTCTCCGCCCCGCCTCGCCCCCCACCTCCTCGCCGGCTCCCCTTTTTAAAACAAATTCGAATAAATAAAAATGAAGAGACATTTAAACGCGTCGTGACGTTATATTTATTATTTAAAAAAAATTTTTTTTTTTTTACCTTAAGTAAATGTTCTTTCTTTTTCTCTTCTTCCAATTACATTAATAATAATAATAATAATAATAATAATAATAATAATAATAATGATAATAATGGCGACGATGATGATGATGACGATGAATAAAAAAATGACGTTTTTATATATATAAAATCCATTTGCCATCATTTGTAATTAAAAAATATAAAAAAAAAAAAAATTAATTAAAGGTGACAATATTGAATTTATTTTACTTTTTTCACTTTAAACCTAATTAACGTTACTTAATACTCGTCAAATGTTTTTTTTTTTTTTACGTCTTCTGCTAAGCCTTTTTTTAAAAAATTTTAATTTAATTTTCATCACTTTTATTATTATTATTATTAGTAGTACGTCTTGTTTTATTACGTGATTAAACGAATTAAATTTATTGATACAAAAAAAATAAAAATTTTTCTCCTTCACCCTCTTTCCCTTTTTTTCCCGTCCCCCTCTTCTTCCCTTAATTTTTATTCGTAATGATTTTATTATTATTATTATTATTAGTATTGTCTGGAGAGGATGAGACGTGAAAAAGTCAAGGGAATGGTGAAGAGGAAGTTTGAAAAAAAAAAAAAGAAAAAACGAAGGAGAGGGTCCCTTCCCTCCCCTCCTCTCCCACTCTTCTCCTTCGGGTTTTTCTTTTGTTTTTTTTTAAGATTATAAGTTACACGTGCGGTTTTTCGTTTTATTTTTTTAACACCTGGCTTTGTGCTTTTGCTGCTTCTGCTGCCACGACAAATAACAAATAAAAATTTTCTTGTTTTTGTTTTTTTTTAGTTTTTTTCCTAAATTTTAAATTGAAGTCGCGACGTGAAATTAGACGAATTAAAACGTTTTGATTTTTTGTTTTTTTCTAGAATTTTAAACTTATCTTTTGTTTTTTAAATTTGGCGCCAAAAATTTTTAATTTGATTTTTGAAAAAATTGCGAAACGACAACAAAAAAAATTTAAATGTTTTATTTTTTTAGTTTTATAATTTTTTAAAAAAATATTTTAAATGACGTGGTTAAAGATTAATAAATTATCATTTGCCACGTGTAACGAACCCGTAAAAAAAAAAACTCTCGCGCCACGACACTAAAATTATTTTACAAAAAAAAAAAGAAGAAGTAAATTATTTAAATTATTTATTTATTTGTCGTTTTTAATTATTTTCGACTGTTTGTTGTTGTTGTTGTTGTTGTCTATATTATTATTATTATCATCATCATTATTATTATTAAACGTTTGAATTTTTTTTTTTGTATAAAATATTTTCTACCGGCTAAAACACCGGGAATCGATTTTATCTTCATGTATAAAATAATTCTATTTGAAAAAAAAATTCATGATTTATTTTTTTAACGTGGGAGTAGAAAAATTAAATTTTTTTTAACGACAACATGCAGAGAATTTGTCGTGAGAGAGAGAGAGAGAGAGAGAGATATCGAGAATGCGTTTTCGAGTGCGACTATGTCGCACGTCGTTTCGAATAATTTTTTTTTCTAACAAAAAAATTTGTGACATTTTTGCTACGGTTAAATAATTAAATATTTTGTCACGTGGTCGACGTTATAGCAAATTTTAAAATTCGTTTTTTTTTCGAACATCAAAACATTTATTTTTTACCGGGCCCTCGACGCAAAAACGAAAAAAATCATTTCAAACGAAAAAAACCGCAAAAAAGATTAAATTTTTTTTTTAATCCGTTTATAATCCACCTTTAATCCCCCCCCTTTTTTAAATCCTTATTCGATCATAATAAACGTGTCTGTCTGTCTATTACAAGTTTGAAAATATTAAAAATCATTTTCCTTTTTTTCATTTTCCTTTTATAATTCTTTCTCGTCATTTAAAAAAAAAAAAATTAATTTAATGGTTAACAAAAAGGAAAAAAAAGGAAAGAAAAAATTTTTTTTTTTTTTTTTACCTTTGACGTTTCTTACAAAAATGGTGGTAAAAAAAAATTTTAAATGATGATGATGATGATTACGTGGCATAATAATAACTTTTGATTGATTGACAATAATACAAATCTTATTTCAAATTATTTATTTTTTATTTTTTTCAATTATAGCGCGCTATATAAATCCATTAAAAATAATTAACTATATAATATTTTACTTTGAAATCGACCGATGGCTATAAAAAAAAAATATAGCGCAATTAACGCCCGAACGTTTCTTATAGAGTTTTCGTATTGATTACGTAATAAAAAAATGGCGGCGGCGGTGGCCATTCGATCGATTGATTATTTTTCGTTAGATTTTTAATTACGTCATCATTCTGCCTCCCTCCTCCCATTTAAAAAAAAAAAATAAATCTAACAAATAATAATAATAATAATTTTTAAAAAATGTCGGAGTAGTAAAAGTTCTTGAGCCACGTTTTTAAACGATCAAATTATTCGTTATTTTGACGTCATCGGTAGTGTAATTTTTTTTTCGGTAATTAAAGATTTCCTATCGATTATGCTACGTACACCCCGAACTATGATCATGAAAATGATGATGATGATGATGATGATGATTATTTACTCTATTATTTTTTTTTTAAACAATTTTTACGCGGGGGACCTTGAAAAAAAAAAAAATTTAAATAAAATTCTTAATGATATACGAATGTTAGTTTTAAATTATTAGGGTATTCATCGCGTATTATAAAAGTTTTTTTTTTTTGCGGCGTCGTCGGCGGCGGATATTTTTTAGATGATAGTAATTTGTCGAAGGAGGAGGAGGAGGGGGTGGTGGGGATGGCGGGTACTCCGACTGCGTGGTAGGTAATTTTTAGTAATGATATATGAAATGAGAAAAAAAATTTTTTTTAAAAAAAATGTTAATGTGGTTGATACTTTTTTTTTTTTTTGAGGGGGGGAGATACGATTATAAAAAGGATTTTAATCCTTACAACAAACAAACAACAAACGACAAACGCAAAAAAGAGGTTTTTGAGGTTTTTCCAGTTTGGGAAAAAAAAAAAAAATTTTTTTTTTGTTTAAAAGAGATTAAAAAAATAAAAATTTTAATCTTAATATATATGCTCATTTACGTCACGACGATTCCAGTTGGAAAAAAAATTTTTTTGACCTTATCGACTGAAGTCTACACACACGATTTGATGTTTTTATAATAATTTAATTATTATTATTATTATTACTACTTCCGACGATTCGATAAATCGATAAATCGTTTTTAATTTATTACATTTTTTTTTACCACACACAAACACACACGAAACGATAAAAAATTCGTTTTGTTTTTTTTTTTACAAGAGAAAGGAAAAGAAAAATAATCGTAAACGTACACACACATTTATACGTCATTTCCGGTTTAAAAATCGAATCTCGAATCATCGATAATTCACGATTTTACAAAATTAACTTTTTACAAATTAAATAAAAAAAAAAGAAAATGTCAAGTAGTATTTTTTGAATATCCTTCGATATAAAATAAATCTTATTAATATAACATCTGCCGCCACGTGGTGTAATATCATTATTATTTTTATTATTATTATGTGAAAAGTTTTTCGACCGGAAGTTGTTGTTATTAAAAATATTAAATTTCTCTCACGTGTTTTTGTATTTAAATATATTACGCCATTTATCAAATAAACGCGTACGCCTCGAGTTGTTATAAATAAAATAATGATAATGATTTTTTTTACAGAACCGGACTCGGTAGTCCAGATAGTCAATATGGATTTAGCAGTGCTCCATCGGGTGTCGATACAGCACCATATACAGTTTTAGATCCGAGAACATCAAACGGATTGCCACCTCCTTGTACAGAAGTAAGCAAAAGAAAAAAAAACGTTTTGGTTTTATTTTAAGAAATCACAAACTTACGATTTTGTTTTTGTGACAGGCATTGCCAGGTGCGGATATAACCGACGGTGGATTTTATTCATGGGGTCCACCTCCCCCCTACGCATCAAATAGAAATTCAGCAAATAATTCTCCGGCTAGGAGATCCCTTGGTGAATTATTACAACACGTATCACCCGTTAGAAGAGGAGATCATGTGTCACCTGTAAGAAACGTTCATCACGTTCATCGTCATCATGTACATCACACAAGACGTTGCGGATCATCGCCACGACAGGTACGGACGTAACAGGTTTTCTTTCGATTTAAAAAAAAAAATTGTTTTAAAAACACAAATTATTACAGGTTTCAAACAATCCGAGAAATCAAACGGATTTTTATAACAACAAAACAATGAATTCGAGAAACGCAATCGTTCAACAGCAACAATTACACCACCAACAACCACAACAACAACAACACCAACAACAGCAGCAGCAACAACAACAACCTGGAATGAACACTCTATGGAACGGTAGCCTATCATCGACTCACGGTTTGTTTAAAATTTTACCAAATAAAGACGATTATGAAAATATTTACGAAACGGAAACTATAAACAATCAAACAAACGGATTCAACACACTTCCGATATTGAAGAAAAAAAATCAAACGAGACTCAACGAAGTTTTCACAAACGAACCATTTACAGCGTATTTTTTTTCATCCGCGGAAAATTTAGGTTGTTCGACGAGCAACATACAAAACGATAATGCGACGATGGTAAATGATAATCTACCACCGAGAATTTATTTAACCGGAAATCAAATAAACAAAACAACCGCAAACAAACAATGTACGGAAGTGCAAAATAATTCGTCTCATCTCATCGGTAGAACGGATGGAGATGTGACGCAACACTTGAAATCATCTTACGATGAAGAACCGCACGTGGTCGTTGGTGGTGGTGGTGGTGGTGGTAGCAGTGGCACCAACAGAACGACGAGACCCATACCTAGAGCCCCCGACAAAAATACGTCACTCGTTAAAAAATTATTCGTTAATTGTTCACCGACGAAACAAAAAACAAGAATAAATCAAGACCATAAAAATTCTTATTTACACGAGAATAAGAAAATTTTTATGCAGCAACAACAACAACAAGTACAAAAAAAAACAAATTTGAAAAAAATAAACGATAAAGATTATTCATCTTCTCCAGAATCTGAACAAACGGAAAACGTCATCACTTTTCACTACAGGGTTGGCATTCCAAGATCCCCAAACATACAAAATTTCAATAAGTTTTCCGATAAGGATGTCGATTCGTGGCAGGAAGGAAATAGTAGGAGAAGATCCGGTGATGATGTTGAAACACGTGCAACACCGATCGATAAAACCGAATCCGACATTTTACAACACGTAACTAATAATAATAATAATAATAGTAATAGTAATAAAATAGGGAAAAATACAAAAAAATATTTTTCATCGAAAGATTCGGAATTATTACAAAAACACAATAGTTTAATAAAAGAATTTAATAAAACTTTAGATTCTGGTAAAAATATAAAATATAAAAACAATAGTAGTAATAATAATAATAATAAAATTGATATAAGAAAAACGGGAAACGGAATTGAAAATACCGGATTTCAAAACGTCGATGAAACAACAACAACAACAACGGCAACAACAGCAACAGCAACAACATCGGTACAAGAAATAAAAAATCGTTTTAGTAAAAATTACAACGATAGTTTTTCATCTCGTTTTACCGGAAGTTACACGTCACAAAATCACGATTCGAGATTATCGTATACAATTAGCGAACCACACGGAAACGACGAATATTTACTCACCGGAAATTTAAAAACAAACGAAAACGAATCCGACGTTTATTTCGGCGATATATCAAATTCGAGTTGTTACGGTCCCGAATCTCTCATGCAAGATGACGTCATAGATAATGATAATACGACGAGATTCGCAACAAACAATGGTAGATCCTTTCTTAACAAACAAAATTTAAAAATGATAGAAAACGATGATGATGATGAGGAAAACGGAGGAGGAAGAATCAATTATAGTGAAATACCATTGGAATACGATGACCAATCAAATTATAAGAATCGCCGTGATGGCGACGATGATGATGATGATGATGATTACAACAATCGAAATCAAATGTTATCAAGACACGTGAGAACAAACAACAATTCGTATTACGATTCGAATGTGGAAAAAATATCGAGTCAGGATTTCGGACAGAATTCTTCGAAACGGAAACATCATGGTAAAGCTCATCACAGGCAGTCATCATCCCCTTCTCCAGGTGGAGTCCTGAACTTAAAATATTTTACGTCACCTTCCGTCCGAGGCCTACAAGATTCTGAACGAATGATGGAATCGACAAATTCGAACGACGAATTGTCATCCAGTACGAGCATGACGGCAGATTCTGGAATATCATCCGGTAAGAATTACTTATCGAGAGGATACGATAACGGTTATCGTACAATCGATTGCGATATTAACGATAGCGAATCGAATAATCGAAATTTATTATCGAGAGAAAAATATTTAAATAATAATAATAATAATAAAATCAATACAACAGGATTTGATAATTTAGGAACTTTTGCTCATCCCCTTTTTCAAAAACCAAAAGTTTTACCGAGGTTAAATACTCGTTACGCGGATCCCGAGGGAAAAAAAGATGTGGGAAATTCTACGGAAACGACTACTACTATTCCCGGAAATAACGAATTGGATACGAAAAAAAAATTTTTAGGAAAAGTTAAAAAATTTGTCGAAGATGTCGATATAGGATCGAATCAATTGTTGAGCACATGTAATTTAACGTTGAGTTCGAGGTACATGACAGGAGAAGACGGTCATCAGTTTGTTAATAATTCAAATAAAAACAATGATGACGAAGAGGAAAGAATGAGGGGGAACGACAAAGAAGAATATGGGGACGGTATGAGTTTATCATCGGAATCGACGAAGACGA